CGCTTGTGTAAAGGATTAAAACTCTGAACACACTTGTCTTCTGTCTTAAGAGCTAAAGCATATTTGAACACACCAGACTACCAGAAGTATTTCAGGGTACCATAGAGCTTTTCTAAACATATAGCACTGGGTGCTGATGGCCCCCAACAGGAACATTATAGGGACAGAGTAAATTACAGTCAGCCAGTTTGTAAGCAAAAGATATGTTGAACACATATATCACTTGATAATAAAGAGAGTAACACCATCTTTTACAATATAACACCTATTCCCTTTTCTATATGTATCTCCCTAGGGAAACACTATGTTTTTAAACTTCATTGTAAGAAACTACTATAGTGAATCAATCACAACACACTGATTAGCATAGCTTAATAGCTCTAAACAGTTGTTCTAGTTTTCAGAAACTTATCCACATCTCTAATAAAATCAACAGCTTATGGCAACAACTACAGATCAACTTGGAAAGGACAAGGATGAAACAGGGACCAATAGTTCTGGAGGCAGTTTGAACATTTTGGGCAGGTTTCTAACACCACTCCTTGTTATCTGAAGAACATTGTGCCCCAGATCTACGTCTCTATAAACAAAAGGAAGAAACTTATCCAGTACTTCAAGACAGCATAAGGATTACAAATCAGTATAGGGATTTCCTACAGCAGAATAAATACAATAAATACAAGATATTTCAGGTGGAGGCATACTTCAGAAAATAGCGCACAGATATAGTTCAAAATAGTTATTAAAATTTTGAAAGTTAAACCACGGTCAACTTACTTTCATCATTTTCCCCTGCTTCAGATGTGACAGTGATTGTGAAAGTTGTAGGCTTTTCTGACAATACTGTTAGGAAAAGAAAAAAAAAGGGAATCAGTGACTCAGCATCCTTAGCCATCAGTGATCTATTCATATACCTTTCATATAAAACTGAAGAATCCTGACAGAATGCTAGGTGACAGAAAACCCTGTGGTAAAGCCCGCAGGAAGAAGTTACTAGTGAGTAAGAGACGGTGGGACACAGTGCAGAGTAGGCACTAGGCGGGCAGGTATGGAAAGCACAAGACATTTTCCTCACTGTAAAATTCCTAGGACGTTGAGCACCCTAAATCACTGTGGGTTTGCTAGCATGGCAAATATCCCTGAGAGCTTGATGGCATCTAGGCAAATGCTGGGTTATCTGTAGAGCAAACATATGGTTCACATACAGGTTTTTGCAATGTAAGGTACTACAGGTGGGAAGGAAAGCTTGCCTTTGCTCACCAGAGGCCTGTCTTGGAGCAAGGTGGATACTCATCATACACTTACAGAGAAAACTGCATCTTTTAAGTACCCTAAAACATCCCCCACTTTGCAATTAGGAGAAGGCTGGCAGACACACAAACCAAAGCCAGAACTCCCGTTCAAAGAAGACTTTTCCCGAGTTTCTCCACAGAGTATCCCTGCCTCAAGCACACGGGTGCAGACAGGGAGTCTCGCGCGATCCCCGTTCCCATCTCACTATAGAAAACCGCAAGCAGGGACAAGCGGAGGGAAGGCACAAAGTCTCCTCGGCGGAGAAACCATGGAAAAAGAAGGGGGGAAACGGAAAGGAATTTAACGGAAGGGAGGCAGGAGCAG